GAGCGGTCTGACATAAACGAGCCAGCCCACCGTGCGAGATGCTCAGGCCATCCCTGCTGGCGGAGGCGGAGGATCAGTCGGTTGCGGAGGACGGTATCAAAAGCCCCCTGAATGTCCATTGTCACCAGTGTGGCGACCAGTCCGCGAGCGAACGCTTCTTCGATGTCGTGCACGAGAGCAGCCACGAGGTCGACAGCGGACCTCTTCGGCAGGGCCCCAGCTTGTTGCGGATGGAGCACACCATAGTGGATGGACGCCCACGCTAGGCGACGTGCGATGAGCCTCTCAAGACCCTTGCCTAGGCAGGAGAGCAGCGAGATTGGTCGCCAGGCGCGCGGTGTCGACAGATTCCGACGACCCGGCTTCGCTATCATGACCACCTCTGCCTCTCTGAATGGTTGCGGATGGTGACCGAGTCGGAGGCATCCCTCGTATAGACTACGGACATGTTCGCCGATGATATGCCAGGCCGCTTTGAGCATCTTGACAGTGATGTTGTCAGAGCCGGGGGATGTGTTTCCCGTGCGGATGGTCGCGTCCTGCACCTCGGCTAGTGATACATCTTGAGCGAAAGGTATCGGTCTTGCCGCGGTGACTGGGACCCACGGGTCGGGTATGTCGTCTTCCGCCGTTCGTCTTTCCAGCGTGGCTCGTCGGAGGGCATTGGCCTTGTCGAGCTGTGTTTCGTGTACCACGCCATCCGCCTCGAGGGGTGGTGGTTGGAAGGCACCTGGTGACTTCAACCATCGGACGGCTTTGAACACAGACGCACTGTCGTTGAAGCTGTCGATGAGGTTGCGCCAGTATAGCCGTTTAGCTTGGCGGACAACCTTCTGGAAGTCCTTCTTGGCCAGCTGAACGTCTCGACAAAATCCAAGGGGATAGACTCTTCTGATCGCGCGGTATTCCGCTGCGGCGAGGCGGCATTCCTCGGTCCACCATGGGGCGCTGCGTCCTTGCTTTCGAACGGGGCGACCGGCGACCTTCGCCGCCGCTTGGAGGAGGCGCACCAGGGCGGATGCAAGAGCATCAAGGTCGTGGGTAGTTGTCGTCGGGGCTGGAATGTCCACTGACCCATACTGGACGAGATCTACGAACCGCTTGATCTCGTCTTCCGTCGTGACGCGGACTTTTCCAGGTAATATTGGCGCTACGCCCACCTCCGGAAGCGCTATGCTGAGCGTGAAGTGGTCGGAACTAGTGGCCAGATGGTCCTCCACGACTGCCTCGGACAGTGGTACACTCGAGAAGGCAAGGTCTATGGTATTCCCATGCGGGTTTGTGGGCACGTCGGTCGGATTGAGCAAGCTGAGGCGATTCTCAGCTGCCCAGTGAGCGATGTCGTCGCCCCGGCCATCGAGACGACCGGTCTGCCAGCTGTAGTGTTTAGCGTTGAAGTCTCCCGCGACCAAACACCTGCTCGGCGGGCTCCAGGCTAGGAGTATGTCAAGAGCCGCATCGAAGTCAGGCTGTCGGTAGCAGTTGACTATCGTCGTATTGTTAATGGTGAGCCAGAGAATGTCACGAGTTGTCGCGGGACGTCGTTGGTCGGCCGTTAGGCCGGGGCGTCGCCGGACGTATGTCATGACTCTTGGGCGGGTAGTATTGTTGGTCCAGCTATCGACTGGAGAAAAGGTATCATATGCGGGGTGAGTTTTGGTGAGACAGCGGCCATATTTAGCTTCTGTCCAGGGCTCTTGCAGCAGGACAACATCGTATTGCTCGGAGTCTGCAAGTGCAAGGGCGCAGTCGTGTGCTGGTGGGATCTTGCCCACGTTCGCTTGGAAGATTCGTAGAGTATTCTTGCCGTTTTGTCGAGCACGGGTATGCCTCGTCATGGATCATGCGCGATGGGGTCGATGCGTCGCTTCTTGGAGGGAGAGGCAGGTCTGCTCGCGGGCCGAGGAGTCGTATCCACGATGATGTATGGCGGGGTTATAGTCATGGTTGGGCTGAGAGTCGAGGTCTCGCTCTCAGCTCTTGAAGTGTTGGCTTCAGGCTCGATTTGGCTGTCGTTGGGCTGGGGAGCGCTGGGGGGCGTGCTGCCGGGCATGCTGCCGGGCGTGCTGCCGGGCGTGCTGCCGGGCGTGCTACCGGGCGTGCTACCAGGAGCAGAAGGGCTAGGGCGGTCGTTCGCCTCAGGTGCGCTCAATGGCGCCGGTCCGGGTGAGGGGTTCACGGTCTGAGGCGATCCTCCGTCCGGTTGGGAGAGCGCGTCCGCCTTAGCCGTGCCTTGCCTTAGCTGGGCGGATAGCTGGGCGCCCATTTCTCGGACGCGGGTTTTCTCCTCCTTGGTCAATCGGCGGAAGGCGCCATGGGATCGTATGGGACGTGCCGGGCATTTCAGGAAATCTGCGGCATGCGGTCCGAGGCAGTTGCCGCACTGCTCCGGCGCTGCGCAAGAGGAGTCATCGTGTCCGGCCTTGCCGCATCGCTTGCAGGACAGTCGGCGGTCGCAGCTATGTCGGGCGTGGAAGTCCCAGCATTTGTCGCATTGGCGGGGCGGTACGGGTTTGTCGATGTATCGGGCGAGTCTGCTGGAGCCGAAAAGCCGCCAGGGTTTCTGCGTGGGTTTGAGGAAAGACACGAGGAGTGTCTTGACAGGAAAATCGTTCGAGTCGTGACGACTAGGGCGGATGTTGACGGCCGTCTGGCCGGTTTGGCAGGTAATTTCGCCTTTCACGGCTTCGTCGTAGTCGGCTTCGTTGCCTTGGAGATCAGTGAGCCTGCGAGGACAATTGGATACGACGTAGGTGTACCATTTCTTGCTGACTTCAACGGATTTCGCGCCGAGATCGTCAGCCCATTCGGACTGGCGCTGGGCGATGAGGTCTCTAGTGGTTGCATCCGCGGTGCGAATAGCCCAGCCCGAGTTTACGGGAAAGGCTGCCGGGATTTGGTGGAGGTCGATGCCGACTTTCGCGGCGATGTGGGTCCGGATCGCGTACGATTCGAGCTTCCTCGCCGGTGCTTCGGCGTCAAGTCGCACAAAGACCCGGAGGTCCTCTTTCGCTGGGGCGGGGATTGGTCGTCCCTGGAGACGTATTTCGGCTGTTTGTTGTGGTGCAGATGGCGGGGCCACTGCAGAGGGGGCGGTGGCGTGGCCTGCAGGGGCCTGGAGAGGGCTGCGACCGGCGGCGACGCTGCTGTACGTCGGCGCCGTCACGGGCGGCAGTATCGAGAGAGACTGGCGCCAGAAATCGAGGAAGCTGGTGGCGAATTGGTTCGCGAAGGTATGCTCAATTCCAGACGTGAACTGCTTCGCGGCCTGGTCGAATGATTCGCAGAATGCATGGAAGACTGCTAATTTGGCGTTGTAGGCATCCGTTTGCTCTTGTGCGACCCTGTTGGCGCCTTCGACGATAGAGACGGGCTCCAGAATGGTTTCTAGCGAGGGCCTATACGGCGCGAGTGCAGGCTGCGCACCTTCCGTAGCAGCAGAGTTGGAGAGTCGGAGTAGAGGCGAAGATGGCGTCTGAGCCAATCGCCGTGGCGCCGGTGAGACACCGATCGGCCGGTCCACAACCGGAGAACTGTTTCGGAGCTGGGCAGCACGGGCCCGGTCGGCGAAAGTCAGGGGAACATGATTATCCAGATCAAGGGGATCTGAGCCGGCAAGCGAGCCCATGGCAGTTGCCATGGCCCGCTGCCAGAGCCAGCGCAGCGCGCGGCTCGCAGAGTTGGTGATGCAGTTGTTAGGCGAATTGGTGTAAGTTCCTCTACTTTCTTAACAATTGTATGCCAAGAAAGTATGATGACAAAGGAAGGGTGCTCCCGTGGCCAATACCGAGGGTCAGGAAGTTCAGGGTAGCCTAGTCTGTCTCCAATTTCAAGCCGTGGCGTTATGTATACTAACAATCAACCGGCCAAGGATCCTTTTCAGAACAGGTACATCCTCGCAGCCGAAAAGGCCAACGAGAAGAGGGTTTGTGACTTGCTTGCTACCAGTTAGTTTGGGAGCAGTGTTTCTCACGCGCGTCACTAGGCCAAGGATCCTTTCCAGAACAGATACATTCTCGCAGAGGAAAAATCCAACGAGAAGAGGGTTTGTGACTGAACTTGTACCAGCTGGAGTAGAGCAGTGTTTCTCACGAGCTACCAGGCCAAGGATCCCTTCCAGAACAGGTACATCCTCGCAGCTGAACAGGCCGACGAGAAGAAGGTTAGTGACTAGCTACCCGTTAGTTTGGGAGCAGTGTTTCTCACGCGCGTTACTAGGCCAAGGATCCCTTCCAGAACAGGTACATCCTCGCAGAGGAGAAGGCCAACGAGTAGACATGTTAGTTGAAGCACCAACGCCGGTATCAAAAAAAAAAAAAAAAAAAAAAAATTGCTAACCACAGCAATTGGAACGCAGAAAGAGGCAGAGAGAGCCAGCTTCTCCATGGGTGCCTTTATTTCGGCTGCTATCGAAAATGCCAAAAAGGATTGTACACATCCGTCAGGCAAATACGTCAACTTCGGCAGCACTTCGATGAGGGGGGACGCGCTCTGCGGGAAGGCATGTCACAGGTGATTGAATGTTTTCTGCCTGATTTTATGAGATTCTGTTGAAATACTGTCAGCTTAGCCAACTTTTGCCGCTCGTTAGGCGTTGCGCGTGTTAAGAACAATCCCATGCCTCACACACCAATGCACGCCATTCGTCTATCGCAGGGCCATACTAGACGGTTTTTGAGCTGCTCTTCATGCCTTGAGCTCGCAACTGGAAGCTGGATACGGGGTTTTCTAGAGCTTCTTTTATCGCCCGATCATAGTCCGTGACAACATCATATGGTGGGGCCATTCCATGCCATGCAATCAATCCCCGGACCGCTCCCACGAGCAACCGAAACATTTCATGTCTCTCATTGTTATCAAAGGAACGTCACACTGTAGACGGATTTCGAGCAAGTCTGCCCGGTGACCCGGGAGAGTGGTAGTTTGAAGCGGTTTGTATGGTACGTGTTGTCGAAGCTCATAATCTCCGGAAAGCGCTTCCAAATCCGGAGACAGTATGGGAAGGTCCAGACCAAGCCAACAAGGCGATCAGCCTCAGTCGCTGACCACTTAACGATATAGCGAATGCTTCAGTCGAAATCAGTCCGCCGAGGTCTTATAGCTAGCTTCGTCGAGGAGGTCTGTACCTCCCAGCCAAAAGAAGAGAGTGTGTGCTTCCAACGGCCCCATCCTCCAGTCAAGTTGAAGTGGCCGCCGCCGGCGCCACCCCTGACCGTCTGCGCATATTCTTCGGCGTCATCAGGCTTGGCATTATTCACAACCTCCCACCCTTGCTCTTGTTTGGCGTCGGCAAAAACTCCGTGACCAGTATCTGTCGGCCGCTGTAAGTTGTCTGCGCGTACTAGAGTTAAAGTGAAGGTCCACAATGGCATCGCGGCGGGCGTCCGTACCGTTAGTACCCGCAGCACAACCGCCGGAGGTTATTGGCGACACAGTGCCGTCGCCTGTCCGTGGTCCTAGTTGATGATCGCTCGACTGCGATACAGTGTCGAATCGAGCGACCGCCACGGCCGCCATGTAGTTTTCCGCGCGCGTCGCCCTCGCAGCGGTGCCTCGACAGGTCCGACAGAGGCAGCTCCTTTGACTGAAAGTGGCCCGAGGCATACTGGTTAGACATGTCAAGGACAGTGTTGCCGCAGGCACGGCATCTGAAGTGGCAGCCCCTGACACGCGAATCAATTACCCAATTTCGTTGCCTATTTCGGGGATCTAGTGGTACGGTAGCTGGTTGGTCCCGGGTGGTCCCATGCAGGGTCCCGGGTGACAAGGGTGACGGCCACATCCCGACCCGTACCCCTGACTGTGCACGGACGAAAAGTGTGTGTTTTCGGAAAACACGAGATACCCTTAATACAGTAGGGGATGACTGCTCACGTCAATCGGACGTGAAAGACGCCCAACTGCCCCAGGCAGCATGGATGCTACCAACCCTTCTACATCTCCGCAGAGGAGGAGATCGCGTGGATCTTGTTCTTGTTGCGCACACCCCGATTGCGCTTCCTTGAGGGAACGCCGTTTTTGCCGCCATTGGCATCTTGTGCGATGGGCGGCTTTCCATTCTGCTGCGCCCACAGACATGAAGAGCGAATTGCGACTGCGAGTGGGCAGACGAAAGTTTTACATGGAGCCGATCGAGTCCAGCGACGGGTTGCACGAGGCCCTTGTGAGGGTTGAGCACCGTTCCGACGGCCGTGTCCCAAGTCGAGTACCTTGTCGGCCATGGGTCTCCACAAGGCCAAGTCACGCTGCGCACAACATGCACAACGCCAAAACACTCCATTCGCTGACGCTCTTGTTTTTCATCGACAAGTCAAATGTCCCGTGTTTTTGCGTCCTGCGGCGGGTATGAGCGGTGGTCACCACCAGTTGCGCCTCGGGGGCTGGCGTCGATGTTGTTACCAAGAGTAGCTTTACAGGAGAGGATCCGTCTGTGAAGGCAAGAAAAAGCCCCTCGGATTTTCATTTCGTGGAGGTGCGACAATTGTCACATGGCCGGACGTCCTACCAAACCTTCCGATGTACAAGCTGCGTGACATTGTAGCCGACCGCGCATCATCACACTGTTCTGTTTCGCTCCTACGGTCGCTGGGCGCTTAGCAACATCCCCCCTTGCTCCGTAATGACAGGTCCTTATCGGCATTGCATTACCGGTTCACGGAAGCTAATGCTCTTCAATTCCACCAATATCGAGTGTACACAACCACCAAAGCTCACGATCCGCGCCAAACTTGAGTCTTTGTTGATGCAGTCTGTCCCCCACATGTCTCGCCGGCGCATTCCTCTTCTTTCGTCGCTTTGCGAGTGTCGACCCAGCCGGAGCAGCAGGCCGATACGAACAGCAGCACGGACACAGCCAACGCGAGGTAGAAGACTCGATCGACGCTCGTACAGTACGCGCGCAGCACGCCCAGCAGGAGTTCCTCGGGGATACCGACGTCACGGACTGAGTAGGCGCCGGCGTCAATGATGAGGCGTGGATCAACGCCGGGGGCGTCAATGAGCAGCTGAGACTTCAGGCTAGAGAGGAAGATGACATTTGCGAGGGAGAGGGAGATGGCGCCACCCATGTACTGGCAAAAAATGGACATGGACACGGCCGTGGGAACCAGGGCGGGCGTGGTGGCGTGCGGGATGGAGATGAAGCTTGTCTGCAGAACGAGGCCACGTGCGGCACCGAGTAGGAACTGGACACCAATCCAGTAGCCAGTGGAGGAGTCAGGGCGGAGGATCGAGAGAAGCCCTGTGGCTACGCATGTGAGGGCACCTCCGACGACGGCGAAGGGGAGATAATAGCCGACTTTACCGACTGTGTGCCACATGTTAGCCATTTTGCTCAGGGTGCTAAGAAGGATGATCAAGCGAGGGCCAGATGATGAACAAAAGTTCTATGGACACTATCATGACGGACACTTACTTAGAAACCCGGTTAAGATGCCAAAGACAACCGAGGGAATAATGTTTGGCAGCATATTCACTCCGCTTGTTAGAGGGGACTTTCCACGCACTGTCTGGAAGTAGATGGGCATCCAGTATGAAGCGAGAATCGTAGTACCCATGATGGACATGGCGACGACGCATGCGGCAACGACCACGCGATTGCGGACGACAGGGGTAGGGATAAGGGCATCGGCCCCCTTGCGCCCTTCCCAGGTAACGAAGACGAGAAACAGGACACCAGCGCCGCAGAAGAGGCCGATGATAGTGGCGCTGGACCAGGCGTGGGTATTGCCCCCCCACTGGAGGGCGAGAAGCAGCATGATTGATGAAGGGGAAAGAAGAAGGAAGCCGACGAGGTCGAGGCTGCGGTAGAGGGTGGGCATGACGTCGCGGGCAGGGCGGAGGGCAGTCTGGTCTGCGATGGTGACGAAGACGGTGCCGCCGAGAACGATGGCGCCCAGCGGGAGGTTTATGTAAAAGCCTGTTGCATCCATGAGATTCCCTCCCTTTTGCGTTCATCTGCTTCCTCGATATTGGGAGGCGATGGGAGACGAGAGAAGGTAGGATAAGAGGTGAAGACTATTGGACGAGACTCACACCATCGCCAGGAGACTTTCTCGGTAAGCGCGCCGCCGATGAGGGGCCCAATGACAATGCCCAGCTGAGCGCCTATATGGGGTATCAGTCAAGGTCTAGGCCCTGGTCTGCTAATATGTATAGGTTCAAGGTAGTTGGACATACAGCTGAGGCAAATGCCAGTTACGACTGCGCGGCATGTTAGCTCGAGTCGTGGATACGAAACGCTCACTGCCTCCCGCAAAACGCACGAGCTCTTTGTTCCGGCATCACGGCGACGCCAATGATGATGAGGGCGCCGGCGAAGACGCCTGCAACGCCGATGCCCGCGATGGCGCGGCCGACAATGAGCATGGTAGAAGACGTGGCGACGCCGCAGATAAGCGAGCCGAGCTCGAAAATGAAGAAGAAAGATAGGTAGACGTGCTTGAGGCGGAATTGTGTGTAAATCTTGCCGACGAGCGGCTGGATGGCCGCGCTTGGGGGCAATCGTTAGTTAGAGTCGTAACGTAGAAGATATAAGAGGCCGCGCGCGTCTCGCTTGGTGGCTTAATTACCTTGCCAGTTGGAAAGCAGAGCCATACCAGCTGATGTCTTCGAGTGAGTGGAACTGAGAAGTTATCTTGGGGATTGCCTATTTGTTCACACGGACTGCTGTCAGAGAGGCGTACGAGGTGTGATGCGTGTAAGTGCATAGTTGTGGGATGGGTAGTCAGCTCTTAGCGCGAAGTACGCAATGGGGAAACAGACGGTTGCGACGATGGCATTGTCGAGCAGAACCAGGAAGCTAGCTGTGGTGAGCGAACTGGCGACAAGCCACATCTGCATGCCAGCCAGGAACTTGCGCTCATCCTCCCCTGCAGCCGGCGTGGTTCCCTTGGCGGCGGTCTCGTTCGTTGGATCGACGGTGCCTTCGTCCTCAATGGCGGCGACGCCTCTGTCTAACGGCTGCGGAAGCGACTGTGGCGCTGGCGCCGACGGCAGTTTCTCGTCCTGCCCCATGACGGCAGGCTGGTGGTAACTGTCTACTTTGTCTCTTGGCAATGAGAAAGGGCATATAACGTTACCGACAGGCCTTTTACTACTCGATGGAATGCGCCGACCCTTTACTCTAGACGCTCAGGAAAGATCTGGGGCGGGGGTTGCAGCTCAGAGTAACAAAGTAAGGGGCATTTCTGAACAAGGGAGAAAGAGTCCGAGATTATGAAATTAGGGCGAAGGAGTCGAAGTTTTAATGGCTCGACTGCCATGATGAGTTCTACGACGTAGAATAGATCTTTAGTTGCTAGGCGGGCATGATGAGGTATACGATGTAGGATTCAGTACCTAGCACCGCCGACTACTGGCCGCAGTTCTGAATGCACCGGGTACTGTACACCCCATATGGGATGGGTGGTGTGCTGACTGCCGGGAAGTGCCAACGGCATCGACCAACAAGGGTGACTCATCAGCGGGGATGTGAACCTGTTGGCATTCAGCGCAGGCCAGCTTTTCCACACTCAACATTCGCCGACTCCTGCCACCGACTGCTCTTGATTGAGTGATTTAACGGCTTAATAAGCCTCTCCACCGTTGAATTGATCGATCGCACAACGTGTTCTGCGTGGTTGAGATTGCGCTGACTGGTTGACGAACCGTCGGGCGATGTACCTGTAAACAGACCACAGCATTGACGCCTTAGAATCAGGACAGGCAGGGCATCCCTGAGCTGGAACCTGCAAGGTCCTGAATGGACCCGCAACGCCAACAAGCTTATTACCCACCGCTCCCCATAGCCCCAAAAGCTGCGACTCTAGTCCTGGTCGAACCCTGTCCCGTGGACTTACGGCCGATCCGCCGCTTGGCTACTGCAACCTTCCCAGATTAGTGATAGTGAGACTTGGGCCTTGCAACCTCGCAATCTTACGTCGGTGCCTCGCCAAAGCGGGGACAGGTACAATAACAACACCACCCAGATCGATTCGACGCCAATCCCCCTCAAGGCTAGAAACATTGAACTTTTCTCAAGATTCACTTGTTGCCTAGCGAATCAACGTCTTTCCAACGGGTCCGACAAGCAGCTGTGATAGCCATGGACTCCCTCAGGCGGCCAGCTGGGAAGGAGCACATTCCAATCTATCCGCGGGGGTGGATCGCAGTCTCCATTTGCCAGCTAGTGCTTGACATTATCATTGTTGGCGTTGCTGCCTACAGCCTGGTCTACACGTACTATGTCGCTGTTTTCGCTACGATCTCCTGTGTGCGCGCCACCGTACACGACTGTTCATTGAAAACTCGAGCTGATTGATGGCTTCCTTTCTAGAGCGCACTTACTCTCGGTATTGCGATATGGCTGGTGTGCGCTTACTCGTGTCGGCCAGAGTCTTACAACTGCTGGGCGGTGCTCTCGCTTGACGTCATCTTCTCCGTCTTCTGGCTGGCCTCATTCATTGGGATGGCATACGACACCAAAATTACGTCGAATACATTCTCGCAGCAGCGAACCTCTGTCGTTCCGATCACCCTGGCCACTTTGACTGCACTAGCAGGCTGCGAATTGTGCGTCAGATGAGGACGCTACGACGAGACGAAAGAAGCTGACAACGTGGTTAATTGCAGTATACTATTTCTAGTTGCCTCAACTATTGACTGCGTTGTCATCCATAAACACCGCATTCAGGGTTTGCCCTCGAAGCGAATTAGAAGAGCAACGGGCAGTTTCAATATTCATGGCCCGCATAGAAACCCAACAAGTCTAGACCCTCGAATCCAAGCAGCACAGAGCGCAGAGCTAGATGCCTGGTCGAACGTACAGCAGTTTAATCCATCGCTCGTACAGCCGAGTGCGACGCCAGATGCGCATAGTTTACCACAGAGGTACACCTCGAGGCAACAGGAGGCGGAACTGCCAGCGTTACCAAGGCTCCATGAGATGCCTGCAAACTCGATCCAATATCCTACGCAACAGCCATTCAGTCATGACATATGTCAACCTCGACACCAATACTGACAATGCGATTCGCCATGGTCTGGCGGCCAACAATCGATGGGTCTTCTTCTCATGTGCGATTCGGGTGACAGGGAAATCTGGTCTTCAAAGGTACATAGGTAGGCAGGCGGCTAGCTAATCCACCATTCGACCGACTCGCTTTGCATCGTCGTGGCCGTGTGCGACTTCTCGAAAATGACAACCTGCTGTCCCTGCTGTCCTTCATCCGTGCGCGCGAGACTCAGGATGAGGAGTACCGCATGTACCGAAAGCCGCGTACGATGGGTTACCCAGTGCCATGACTATCTTTTCCGCGCCCAACTACCAACATACCAGGCAATGAGGAGGCTGACGGCCTCGCCAAAGCGGGCTGTTTGCAGCCTGAACCACCAGAAGCCATGCCATCGCTGGCCCACCTGCGCCGACTTGCGAGGCAGCAATCGAGAGACGCCTTCAAGGCTTGGTGGTCGACTGAAGCGCCAGAGTCATACAAGACTCCGAACCTCGAGGCGACTACGAGCTGCCCTCCAGAGCTGGCGCTCCCAAGGGCAACGCTCCACGGCCTCCTTGCGGCGAGATATGGAGACTTCGCCGACTACCACGAGCGTTTCAATCATGACGACGCGCGACTTGACTGCTCATGCGGACGACGCAAAGCACCAGAGCACCCGTTCTACTGCAGGAAGGTACCGCCACGGCTCCGGATGAGGCTTGCCCCCTCACCGGCCGAAGCGATACACCACGCAGTAGGCAAGGGCTTCAAAGCCTTCGTCGTGATGACGTCGGAGAGCTCCTTCTTCCTAAGGATCTGTCCGCCCCATTAGGCGAATAACACTCCCTTCTTTTCCTTCTCTGGCGCCCTTCTTTTCTCCAAATTCTAGTCGCGGTCGAACGAAGGGCGTTGCAGCGCCCTTCACCCGGCCGAGGCCCTCCAATCCAGCTGCAAAATGCGGCCGGTGAGGAAAAGCCTTCCCAGGCTCATCTTTCTGATGAGCATTGACTACGACGCAACGTCGCATGCGACTTTACATCCCTAGGGTTAGGGGCTCCGACGAAAGAGCGCCTTGAGCCGATGAGATGCTAGATGGTGTTTGTTTTGAAATGAGGACGCGTCGGTGCAAACTGCGGGGCGGCCGAAATGAGCGCCATTGGGGCCTGAGGTAGCCACAACTCAGTGACGACTGCTAACCTGGACCAACCGGCAGAAACTTCGCGAAGCACAGAGGTTTGGAACTGTTGTCAATTGTAGATAGACTCTCATCAGCCTAGCACGTCCTTTGCTCCGATAGGGGCTTTAGCTCAATAGCTTCCTGGACGTTAAATGATATCACATCACATCACACCACATTTTGCGGCTGTTTCTTCGACGGCGGTCGCGTTGCGAACCGGCACTTGGTGGCCAGTTCGAATCAGCGTCGAACGCCAGCACGGATGTGACCATGATGTGCCCAGGACGAGAAGCCAGTTCTGGTGCATCGCAAGCCAAGGTCCGACGTCAGCAATTGCGATCCGCACGGGAAGACCGCCCAGTGTCACGCTTGAGGTTCGGGCATTTCTGACAGACAGGACACTGGCTGGCACCGACTGGCACCGAGGCTGTAACGGCGCAAGCCAATTGCGGAGGACCCACTCTGAAACCTGGGTGTCAACCAGCCCGCGCTCGGGACGTGGGCCGACGAGGCGGGCCAGGCAAACAGGCGCCTACCTTTGGGTCTCATCGGTCACCACGAGGTCTCGCTGTTCTGCGCGTTGCGCTGGCGTGCGGCGGCCGGGAGGCGGCTTTTTGGCTGGCATTTGGCTCGCTTTTGGCTGTGTGCAAGTGAATTCTCACTAAAACGCATACAAACTCACACCCGCACGCTATTGCAGCTCTTAACTCAGCGCCTGCCCCGCGCTGTACAACCCTCGGCCACAGCGGTGCCTCGGGCCATGCCACACCACCCTGAGCAACCTTGGAAGCCCAGCCCATTCCTCAACCCCCAGTGGGGCCCCTCCCCAGGTGCTCGTACCTGCGCAGTAGCCCCCAGAATGGCGCAGGCGGCTCGGGCAGGGCAAAAAAACACCAGGGCCAACCGGAGATACTCAATTCTACACCGTAAAAACCATCATGCTCGCCTGGGCCGTTAAAGCTCGCCTCCTCCGCCCCAAACGTGCCGGCCGGCCTCCTCTTTCTCCTTTCTCCTTCACCACGCGCGAGGCCGTTCCTGATTGCGTGTGGCTTTTCTTTACTTTCTTAGTCCCTGAATTGCCCACGCCTCGGACTGCCATCTGTTGCACCTACACGACGTGCATCTCGATCAGGTACCTGCCCTGACGCCTACGACCTCACTGCATCCGAGGTACCATCAAGTCACGTGGTCACACTTGCACATACTCTCCCTCCCACCACCTCCACATATCCACACCACATCTTATCAATACTTCACTATCCTCTATGCACATCATGTCCTTGGCGGCTTCGTCTATCCGGCGGTCGTGTGCCTCTCTGGCACGCTCTGCGCGGTCCAACTTTCTCGCCCGTCCCTCTCGGTCGCTTCTTTATGCCCCTGTAGCATACCAAACTAGACCCAGCTCCCACTCACCCATGGGAGCTCCCCCTTCCAGCCCGCGCAAGAAGGTCACCATCGGCACACTGAGATCTCTGCACAAGAAAGGTGACCCCATCACCATGATCACTGCCCACGACTTCCCTAGCGCCCACGTTGCCGACCACGCCGGCATGGACGTCATACTGGTTGGCGATAGCCTCGCCATGGTGGCATTGGGGATGGAGGACACGAGTGAGGTCCTTGTCGAAGAGATGTTAATGCACTGTCGTTCCGTTGCGAGAGCCACAACGACCGCTTTCACTGTAAGTCGATCATCCCCGTGTCGATCGAACCCCGTCACCTAGCCATACGACGGCTGCTGACCAGGATGCCTTGTAGGTTGGCGATCTGCCGATGGGGTCGTATGAGATATCGCCAGAGCAGGCCCTCGCGACGGCGATCCGCTTCATTAAGGATGGCCGAGTCCAGAGTGTCAAGCTCGAAGGCGGCAAGGAAATGGCCCCATCCATCCGGAAGATCACCACAGCCGGCATCCCAGTGCTGGGCCACGTCGGCTTGACGCCCCAGCGACAAAATGCCCTCGGCGGGTTCCGCGTCCAGGGCAAAACCAAAGACGGCGCCCTCGGTGTCCTCGAAGACGCCCTTGCGGTTGAGAAAGCCGGCTGCTTCGCCGTCCTACTTGAGGCTGTTCCTGGCGAGGTCGCCGAGCTCATCACGCAAAAGCTGTCCATTCCCACCATCGGCATCGGTGCGGGCGCGGGCTGCTCCGGTCAAGTACTCGTTCAGACCGACATGGCTGGCAACTTCCCTCCCGGCCGATTTCTCCCCAAGTTCGTCAAAAAGTATGGCGACGTTTGGGGCGAGACGAAGAGGGCCATCGAAGCACACCGCGACGAAGTCAAAAGCCGGCAATATCCGGCGCCCGAGCATACCTATCCGATTCCCACGGGAGAGCTGGAGGCGATTTCCAAGGCTGTCAGGGAGATGTAGTGGGTGGTGGCGGGGAGGGCAGTTTATGTTTTGGTAGCATGATGGCGTGGGGCGGCGGCGGCTGTCTTTTAAGCGAGCGCATGGCAACTGTTTCTGAACGTATTATGGTCAGATGGTGGTAGAAGGCCAGAGTTGGCGAGCATTCGTAGCAGCGTGAGCCTTGTTCCCTGCCGCTGCCTTGACGACAAGTTCTGTGATCTTGATCGCCTCTCCTCGTCTCTAGGAGGAGACACATTGCTTTAGCCAACTCTTTTCGTTCCCTGCCGCCACTTCGGGGACCTGTTCAATGATCTTGATCTTGCCTCCATGTCCGTTGAGAAGCAAAAACGTGGATTCAAATTCATTTGAGCCCTTTCCCGTAGCTCTCTCAACCTCATTTTGTAGCATGCACATCTTCCATGCATATTACAAACCATGTCATCGCCCCTCTAGCGCGTTGGTACATAGGGTCTGACCGGTGCCCGCTCGACTTTGGTCCCTGGGACAGATGTAAGCTCACCGGAGGATGATACGGCCCGGGTAGACATTGGAATGGAAAAGACTGATACTAACGCGTCATGGCCGTGGTACATTCATTAAGCTGACTGAAACACCCTTTGCTGCTCATGCAGTTGATGGTTTTCTTTCACTCCGTCCGGCCCCGTCGCTACATGTCCGCCATCACCAGCCGTGTGGCCGTGGGCAACCTCGATCTGCCCTCCATACCGCAGCGGCGTAAGCTCAAGACAGAAGACCCCTGCGAGATTGACCGCCAGAGGCAGGCTGTGCGAGGGCTGGACGTTGTGTTTGTCGTCGGGGGTGCTCATGGCGGCTGAGAGAGCACGAGTGAGATAATTATGTAACAAAACAAGACAAAGAAGGGAATACTCACATGGCGTCAAGCACATCATATCGTCCTGCGAGGCGCACCACCTTGATCAACCCGTTCTGCTGTCAGACGTACGGAGTGGATACCAGCACAAAGGCGTCATGGTCTAAAACATGGGGTGTATGAGCAGTTGCTCGAGTGTATTGATCGTGATCTTGATTGCTCCATCTCTGCCCATTTCTCGCGGCCATTTTGCTCGTGTGGACAAGTGAGACACGCAGCTCGCTTCACGCCCCTAGTATGCACTTATGCAGTTATCCGGTGCAACTGTAGTTTGTTAGATTGACGACGCAGCACTCGAATCACGATGGGGTTCCCGTAGTCAACGATGAGGCTAGAACTGTTGATTCTATTGCTTGAACCTGAAGTTCTTGTGGGCGGGGGAGTCGATGCTCTACGCTACGCCCAACCACCACCAACCAATTATCCTTGTATCCGATTGCAGCATACTTTAGCGCCGTTTTAATTGCACATGGGCGTCAATCTATCATAGTTGTGCAGTTGTGCTGTCGCGTTGTCAGGGAGTGTTAGAGTGGTGGAAAGGGGTGCCTGGAGGGTACTTGGGTGTGTGCCGAACCTGACGGCTACAGGCTTATGGAGGCCTATGCAATGTGGTGAAGGATATCGCACACACCGCCATTTGCTGCACATCAACGCACAAAACCAGCGTAAAGATGAGGATAACTACACAATCCTCAAGAATCTCGAGGATCTGAAGAAGAGACCAATAATAACTTCAGTCTGGATGACGAAACATTCACATTTGCTTTCACAAGTGCCATCGCCGGTCTGACACACGGCGCGTCTCCACCTGCACGGGAGCTGGGAGCGCCAAGCGTTCGTCCGCCAATAGAGTATCTTCGCAGCGTCGAGTGTGTATGCAGGGGTGACATGCCATGGCCCCAGCCGGATGCGAGGTACGAGCGGCTCGCTCATGGAACAGCGCGGCAAGCGCATGGGGACCATGCGACAAGAGTTTGTCTGACAGGACGGAAGGGATTACTCGTATTCTCCGCCAATTAGCAGAGTGATCCTCGCGCACCATCAGTGTTGGTGACGGTGACTTGCCGGCTGTCAAAGCGCTCAGCCCCGCCTGCAAGCACGCTTACCCTACGCCCCATGGGCTTATTCGAGGTCGACTCTACAGCACGATAGCACGGGTGGCAGCAAGGTCGTCGTGTCTACTTTCACTATCCTCCTCAATCCTCGATCTGTGGATCCCTTTTTTTTTTTTTTTGTTTTTGTTTTGCCCCGGCGCCCGCAGAGGCATGGAATCAACGCGGGAGGGCTAATCCGACATAAGACTAGGAGTAAGACAGTGATCACCAGCCGAGTAGGGGCCAATTCCGCTGGAGGCGATTTAACCCCTTCTCGGAGACTGTCCAGTGAACAACTTCTAGCCGGTTATATAGAAAACCATTTAGGTCCATCGTTGGAACAGAGCGATGGAAGGCTTGCTGCCCGGGCCCATCGGCTGATCAAGTATTCGCAATATCACCTTTTCGGCCGAGAACCCAGGTTGTCGAGACTTTCTGTCACGGAGGAATAGTGTACCTGCCCCCGCCACGGTAAAGTTGGTTGATGCGGCAGTTCAGGAGAAAGGTAGGTCGTAGCTACAAATTAATGACTCGTTCTGTATCCTTGGGACTGTGAAGGTCTCGTAGGAAGGGTCACTTAAAAAGGGTTGCGTCGTCTGCAAATAAAATCGCCCTTTCGAGTGCCGAGGCGGCAAACCGACTCAGAAGCAGTATGGGCGAGACCTGCGGTCCTCGAGACAGGCCGAAAAGCAAATGTAGCGAAGGAGCCTATGAGTCATGGTGCTTAATTCTTGTGCGTGAATGTCTGAAGGTATCATAGCGTCGAATCCGTTTCTATCTAACGTCCTCCGGCCCTGGATGGCCTGGATCTCCACTAATCCGCTGCCACGGGTGCACACTATCGAGTTCCAGAACCGAGAGCTCACGGGGTTCTTTCGTCCGTCTGCTACTGGACAGCTGGTATGAGTCTCCGTCATACGACCTCTCGCTGTTGTGTACGGTGTTCGATCCGAAGGCCGGGACCAGTCGCACCAAGAGTAGCCGCAGACTCGGAAGAGACGTGCAGATCATCCCGACGTTGAGCTCGATGGTGGACCAGTAGATAATGTTGAACTGGTCATACGTTGGGTTGCTCGAGTTGGCGAAAGTGATGAGGAACTGAAGTCGCAGGATGGAGATAACGGTGACACTTGGCGCGTTTACCCAGTTAGCCCAGTCTCGCTCTTATTGCGCTCAACAACACTTACAATGTCCCTATCAAGAACATAGCGAGAACGCCTAGCTTCTGCTTCCACTCTAGATTTATCTTCATGATTTTGCTCAGAGGAAGACAGATCAGCCACAAGTCGACGGTAATGCTAATTGCGGCATTGGTCCAACCAAGCGCGTTGGTGTTGATACAACGTCCCGTCGTCGATCCGCCGTACTGAGTCCAAAAGTAACTGACTGGACTGCACTGGAAGATTGTCGCCAGAACAAAGGTTAAGCCGAAGACTCCGTTGAATATCGCTGTACCTAGAAGCAATCGACGAACGGGTTTCCCGGGGAAAATGGCTAGAAAGAATAATGATAAGCTGAGCTTGATGAGGGAGAGCTGAACAAAGTATAGCACCTGATTGACCAAGAAAAAGGCACCAAAGGCCGTCAACTCGGCCAGCGGCACGGTCCAAATGTCCTTGCCCAGACCGTTACGGGCTATTCCTCGTTCACTAATAACGATGCCGGCTACGCGTACAACGAGCGTGATGGCAATGACCTGGTCATCCGGGGTGAGCGCCATAATCGTGCTAAAGAATCGCTTGAAGACAACCCGTGCCAGGACAAGTAAGGCAGCGACGGTCCCGAGCGAGATGGCCATCGTGCTGAACTGGGCAGACTTGTCTCGGATGGAGACATTGCAGGCCTTGGACATGACGTTCTTGGCGGCTGTGCGCAATACTTATCAGCGACAGAGACAAGTCGGCACTAATGATCCATACCGAGCGCTTGGGGGAACGAGCATGACTGCAGGATACACTGGCCTGCTTCGTTATTGGTCGTCTCGTTGTCGCAGATGCACTGCATGTCACCGGGCGAGCACGACGACCTGGCAAGCGCCGTCATCAGACAATTAACCTGCCAGAAGGCTCTCGTTAGCAACCATCAAGCATTAGTCCCTATATGGGACTTGAGTGTATTGGATGTAAACCTACTGCGTATGGCGGAATGTCAGCCAGGGCCGATGCAGACCCTTCCAGCGCCTTGTTCTCCTGTTCTCCGAGGGAAGACGAGTTCAGGTTCATGCCAAAAAGCACCACGCTCTGACGGAAGCGCATGTCAGGCAACGGTGAATAACGGCGATTCGGGCGTTGTCGTCGCTCGCCAAATGTAGAGCGCACACGCTCCTTTTGACCCTCGCGTTGACAAATGCTGGAGCAACCGATCTGCAGGACACGGGTCGCCTACTCAGATCCACCTCGATCCAACACGGCGAGATGGGAGCTCAGTCATAAAAAGAATTGCTCTCGTACTTATGGCCCATCGTGTCAGAAGATCGGGTTGGACGTGAAGATACGACGGATTCGTACCGAACCCATGTTGGCCTGGGTCAGTGTGGGACGCAAGTCGCCTCACAGCTTGTCACCCTGGTTTCCTGGGGTCGTGTGGCAGGTACAGAAGCTCCTCGGAACCCTGTCAAGAAGCGAGCAGTTCTGTACCACAGCCAATGAGAAGCCTGTGGCTACCAGTCGACTTGTCTGTGGCGACAAGGCCCGGGCAACATGCAATGGTACACGAGTTTTTGCAGTTTTCTTCTGCGCTGGCGTTTTGTTCATGGAAGCTACGGTCGCTGCCAAGATGGCTGGTCAGACTGCTGGTGGGTGACGGGCTATTCGATTGAACGACAGCACAGTGTCTGCGTAGTGTAGAGCTGTTTAGTTCATGACCAGCAGATATTCGCGTGTTAAACCTGACAGCCCCAGGTCGGTGTGCAAAGAAAAGGCATCACGCGAGACAGTTACCCTTCAGGCCGGCTTAGCCCAAATCAGCAGCAGCAATGGTTGGCGGGTCGAGCACCATTGGCCCGCGATGCCTCCACAGTGACACATGTCTATCTGCTAGTTCGACAGATATGGCGTCAAAGCGCAACCATTTCTCTTGGGGCAGCTCGGTCGGCACTGATGGTCCTCGTGGGGAGGTATTGGGGGAATGCCATCGGCCACATGCTGGACTGTTGATGTCGCCTCGTCTGACTGACAATCGCACATGCGAGGTCCTTGTTTGTATCCGCAGACGAACTTGTCAAACGGCGGTAATGCGGACAATGGCGATCGATCAATCGTTGTGGACGGCTGCGGAGGGACTGAAAGGAAGGTCAGCAGAGAAAACTGTTGAGAGTTGCAGGATGGGTTACAAGTGCTGGGGGCATCGGTTGGATAATATCGTGAGCGCTCAGTTGCCATCACGCGCCCGCGACCATATGTGGAAGGAAGTCGGGCAGGTGCTGAGTGCGGCACTTCTGTTTCCGCAGCGCGTTTGCAGTGGCTGGAACGTGTGTGATCCCAGCGCCAACTCGCAAGTCGGGACACGCGAGAGGTGCGGTGACCCCGGCATCGCGCAAATGTAGCCGGATCTTACGACGGGGGCTTGGGCTTCCAAGCCTCCTGGTTTGGGCTGGCAAGCCTGGAACCTGTCGCATGGACCGTTTTTTGAAGTTGACGGCAATGCGGCATCCTGGAGCCGGGTAAATGCAGCTGAAATGCAATCCGTCAAGTTTGGTGTTTTTGTGTGGTGGGGGCCGCAATTCTAATACAGGTATCTTACTGTCCCTCAAAGCTCTGTCCGGGGATCATACCGCCACTAATTGACTCAAGTATCCCCGCGCCTTCTGCAATTAACCGATCGTTCGGCAGGTTGGAAGATCAATCCCAATGCTTCCCGCCTCTCGCTCGGGCATCCAGTGGCGTTTCTGGGCGCCGCCAACTTGACTTTAGTGGAATCAGCAGCGAGCGCATCGTCCTGATGGCGCCCATGGAGTACAATTCGTTTGCCGCGGTAGGCGGATAGGGTCATACTGGATTGCTATATCCCGTAGACGCCACTTCTTCCTGTGGACGATGGATAATCGGGATCATCAAACTTGGCCGGTACTGGTGAAACATGGGGCGTGATGACGACCTCAAGGTTTCCATACCAATGGAGACGCAGAAGTACGGCGAAGGTACGTCCGTGCGTATTCGAGGTTGCCTGCATCCGTCGGCTAACTTCACCAGGGAGTGCGCCTCTGTGGCTTGGGCGCCGTCAGGGCTGGGTTCCAACTTTGCTACTTATTTTGCATTTTCTACTCCCTTTAGATGTTGCACCCATGAATCAGCGGGATCTCTTGTACAAACGATGCCCGCGTATCATTCTCCACGAAATTGACCAACACTGACACAAGATCCGCGCATGGTAATGGAGGACCGAAGTGGCCAGATCGTTGCCGTCAATGTCGCCTTTATGGTCCTCACCACCATCGTCATCGGGCTTCGCATCTACTGTCGGGGGTGGATAATACGGTCTTTCGGCATAGACGACTACACAATGTTTGTCACTTGGGTACGTTCATCCGCTACGACCTACTCCAATAGCAACGTTTAAAATGTGACTAATTGTGCGCCAGGTCTTATTTTTGATGTACCTTACGACTCAACTTCTTGGTGTTGCTCACGGGACAGGCAAACACCAGGCTGCCTTAGATCTCAGCAGCAACAGAAAGGCGCTCATGGTAACAACCCTCTCCATGTGTTGCCCAAACCAAGAAATTAACATCTCTAGTGGTGGTTTGCATGCGAGTTGCTATATATCTTCTGCACCTGTCTTCTTAAAATATCGGTTGGGTTCTTCCTCCTGCGCGTCGCTGTCGATCTCAAACACATATGGATTCTCCGGATCTCGATGGTCTTAACCGTTGTCTTCGGCCTCGCATACTTTTTTATGGTTGTATTCCAATGCTCGCCAGTTTCTGCCTTCTGGCAAATAAACCCCAGAGCACCAAACAACTGTCTGCCGGAAGGACCCATCATCGTAATGACCTACACGGCATCATGTTTGAACTGTACCGCGGATTGGATTTTCGGCATCATGCCGGGATTTATTGTGTGGTCTCTCAAAATGCCGCGGAAGACAAAGCTCCTGGTCGTCGCTATCCTGAGTTTCGCCGCTGTGTAAGTTCACAACTCACGGACCCAACTGCTGGGACTAGTTGCAGCGAAGTATTGACCTCGTCGCAGCGGTAGTAGTGCGACAATTTTCCGATCCACCTTTGTCCCTACGCTTTTGGATGGTGAGGACTTTTTGTGTAAGTCAGTTCTCGTTGGAACATAGGCATAGCCGACCTTTGCCGAGCTCACCGTAAACCGGCAGACGCCACGAGTGACGTCGCCATCTGGAGCACCGTCGAGCCCGGCATAGGCATTTCCGCGGCATCATTGGCGACACTACGACCATTTTTGCAACTATTGAGTTACAAGATTGGCCTCTCCAGTACCGGACCAAGCAACCCAGACTGGCAGCAGCGTAACCATGCTCCCCGTTTTCGGCTGGGATACATCAAGAGCAGCAGCTCGCCCCGCGTGCATTTGCAGACTCCGAGGCCGGACAATACGACAGCTACGACGATAGCCACGGAGACGGGCTCGTAACAAGGGCTGGAACAGCCATGCCCTTGGACTAAACCACATCAACGGACATGTCTAGTGTTACGAGGAAATGGTTTATCAACTACTGGAGACGATTCACAACCCTGGATGTTATACCCATGATTCTGACTGCAGTCGCCAGTGCCTTACTAGAGCTTGAATATGGTGCTCCGGTGTCCTGCAACAAATGTTGATCGAATCGTGTAAAGATGAGCTGCATGAGAAGCTGAATGTTGAGCTCAAAACACTAGGATCAGGGTGAAAAAGAGGCACAGCTTATCGTGGTCCGTGGCCACACGTCAGAGCTCAATTTGGCTGTCACAAATCGAACATATGCTATCGAGACATTCCCATTCACGCCCAACTACTTCATACAAACGGAACAAGAAACCTGTTGGCAGCCGTCGGGCTGAAGCAAGGCGAAGCGATCCATCGCCTTACCAGTGGGGTGAATATGTGATAAACCCCATGAGAATGCCAGAAATGAGTCCTGCAACAGGTACAGTGATGACCCAACCGAGGTAAATCCACGCAACCATGCGCCAGTTTATGGCACGCCAGTCACCGTTGCAGAGACCAACTCCGACAATCGCGCCAGTAATACACTGAGTGGTGGACACAGGAAGCTCTGTAATTAATCGTCAGCGCGATGTAAGTTAGATGGAGAAATCGCGTAGCGAACTTACCAAGACGAGTAGCCATAATGACTGTAATCACAGATCCCAACTCCATAGAAAAGCCACGTGAGGGTGACATAAGTGGAACTCCACCTGATCCCGGCTCGTCAGTTGGTCGGGTGTTGGGCAAAATCCGCATGTTTGACTTACGCTCCGGCTCCCCGATGAGAAGCCATGATCAATCAGAGAAGGTGCGATAACATGAAACGCTGGCTCAGATCCGCCATTACCATCCGCCAGTGGGCCTGCGATCTTATTCACTTCGTAGAAGCTACCTGGCCATCCGTGAAGAAGCAGGAGAGGTATGGCATCCTTGACCCGACTTTCCACGTGCACGAAATGCATCTCGAACGTACCATGTCCGTCAACTTCGACTGTTCGTTGTAAATTGCGGCAGCAGGCGATTGAGCGACATCTCCGCTGCCCGCCAGTCGAAATCCTTTCTCCAATACTCAACAAGAGCCTTTATCTTTGACGCTGGAGGGCCCCTAGACCATGGCGACTGTGTGTCCGAGTCTAATTCGGACGGGAAGTCTGTCAGAGGGAGCTTCTCATGGAGGCGCCTGAGTCGAGAGTCTGCAATTGAGATTCTAAAAGGATGAACCTTTGGGTCTGCCATGTTTAAGGTCCCTAGATCCCACAGTGACGTGGGAGTTGACTGCAGTATTGTCGATTGAGCATTTTCTGTATCTTGTCGAGAAAACCAGGAGCGCGCAGTGCGTCAAATAAAGGGCGTGGGGTGATGCGCCATGCCTTGTCATATCAAGGGCGTCGGCGAGACGAATACGACCTTCTTTCAACATCGTCATCCAGCGTACGGAGGATTACGATAATTCCAGCAAGTCGGGGTGATTATTTACCCGAAAATTCTCTCGTGGTTCACGTAGATGCAAACGCAAGCGTCACCGACGCCTTTTCACAGCGGCAGTCTGGTAAACACTTCAACTTAGTTGAGCGCGATTCCAATTACAAATAAACAGGAATATCACCCGTCTTCTTACCTTTTAGAGGTTGCGATCGTTTCTTCATGTATCACTAAGGACTTTGTTTGCTTCACTGATTTTGGAAACTATCACAAGTTGTCCATCTATTCGACCCAGCTGAACGATGCATGCATTTAGTGCGCCCAGCCGATCCATGCGCAGGTTTCGACAAAATGCGAAAGAAAATGCTGCTATTGACATTGAAATCGATGGCCATTTCACATCAAAGACATATATGTCCGATTCAGCTATCACTGGAAGAATCGTAGTTCGCCCATCTCGCGATCTGCCCTTTGATGCTGTTGAGATCTCCTTCTGCGGCGCCGAAACAACAAGAGCAAACAACCTTACGCAGCACACGGACGGCAGTACTATGCGGCGATTTTTGACAATGCAAATTCCGGTTTCTAGAATTTGTTTTCCTGAAACAATGACATTCAAATCTTGTCAAGATTATATGATACCTTTCCAATTCGTCATCCCATGTTCACTTCCGAATTCTGCCTGCTCTACGGCCTGCCGTGACGCAGCTGTTCGGGAAAGGCATAGGCGACTACCACCGACGATGGGAGGCTGGGAGCTTGACGATCAGTCCCCGACGGCTGCCCAAATCGAATACTACATCGGCGCAAAAATACTCCAGATCTCATCGCCTGACAGCAGATTCTGCTTGACAGAAACGCGTCGCACGCTCAACGTGCTTCCAGCCTGCCCCGAAGACCCGCCGCTTCACGTTCTCCCCAGCGACGAACGATACAAGCTGTCCCGAGTGAAAACAATCAGCAAGGGCATAAGAATGCTCGCTCCAAAGGGTGGCCACCTTCGGGTATCGTCAACTCAGCCGGCTGCTATCATGCTGGCTCCTGATGGGCGCGGGGCTTCACCGTCAACGGTTTCACTCACCCTGAATTTCACGCCAGTCACAGCAGACAGGCCACCACCTGTCATTAACTCCGTGTCGGGGAGCCTTACTTGCTCGACTTTCTTCGGAAGCGTCCCAACCGGTCGATTGCCTGACCTCGGGCGACGACGAGACTATCTCATTGTCTCTCCAAGTTTCGAATATAAAACCACCCAAAAAGTCTTCAATGTGCACCCTGGTGAGCTAGCGTGGGCACATGACGTCCCGGAGGAGGTTAAGCGACAGGTTGAATCATCCATCATCGACACCGCGAACGACTCTGGGATTCATGGTTATAGATGGCATGGGCAATGGCCAAGGAAGCATGGTACAAAGCTTACCAACGCTGGTTTCGTATACACTAGCTTACTTGACATTCATTTCGCACTTCTCAATGACGACGGGAAGCGAATTCTGCCCACATTTTATTCGTGTCTTACTTCCAGGACATATGCCTTACACCTCAAACTATCTGTTGGGCAAGCCAAGACAACGATATCACTGGCGGTACCTCTTCAGATTGGGGTCAATGCTGCGCGAAGTGACTCATCCTGGAACTTATTAGCTTAGAATTCTGTCAAGTGCAAAAGATGTTGAAGTAGTAAAGTTTCAACATTATTGTCTAATTTCAAGATCTGTTGTTATATACAAGAAAATTTCATTTTCAGGCGCACATGCGCAACGAACCTTTACTACTACTACTGCTGTACGCGGGCGTGTGTGGATCTTACTATAATACTGGTACGTGCATGATGTCGGCCAGAGTACGGTCAGGACAGGCAAGCACCGACGGGATACGAGCCAGGAGAACACCCCTTCAAGGCCGCGCTGCGATATGATGGGATAATATTTGACGTCCGGAAAACTATTCAGCTAAAGCAGCTATCGGAGCATAGGACATGCTAGGTTGATGATAGTCTATCTACAATTGACATCAGCGTGAAAACCCTAATGCTGAATGGCGTCACGCTGCACATGGATGACGTCCCGCAGCTGCTCATGTCGGATTACCGGCAGGCCCACAGGCTCCTGTTCGACGAGCTCCTGTTCGGCGCGGACGACATTGCGGCAGTTGAGTCCTGGCGGGTGCACGACGACCTCGATCTCGATGAGTACGGCGGCTCGTGGCTGACCGACAAAAGGAACACGGAGGTCCTGCCCGGCGTGCAGGACGCTCTGCTGCGGCAGATCCAGAGTCGCGCCGGTTTGCGGCAGGTGTTAGTACGAGACGGCCCGACAGGGCAGAAGGTTCTGTGCCGCAAGGCCATCGCCATTTACGAGTCCCACGTCCAGGAGTTCCTCCAGCGGCTGGTCACGCTCATCCACGTGTCGCCCTGTCCGCCGTTACGAGCACCCGAGCTGCTGTCGGTGCTGTACGCAAACACGGGAAGGCGCCGGAACATCTACGTGTGGGAAAAGAGCGTCATGCTGCACGTCCGCTACCACAAGAGCCAGGACATGACGGAGAAGCCGGCCGACAACATCCGCTTCCTGCCCCGCGCGGTGGGGGATCTGCTTCTCACGTATCTCGCTGTCGTCCAGCCTCTGCGGCAGACGTTCCTGCGCCAGAGCAAGCCCGGGGCGTTGCTGTCTCCGTACCTCGGGGCTACGTTGGGCGGCGAGGTCTGGTCAGACGAGAGGGTGGTGGCCTGCCTGAAAAGGGCCCACGCGCGGGCGGAGACGCCGAGGCTCACCGTGGCCTGGTGGCGACAGGCGGCCGCCTCCATCACGAAGGCCAAGCTGAGCCCTAGCCAGCGAGCCAACTTCAATATACACGACATGGAGGGCCCAGAGGAGATCGAGGAGGAGTTCGACATGGTCACGCTGGCCGTGGCGAGCAACCATTCAGTCGGCACCTTCAACTCCGCCTATGCCGGCACGACCACCTTGGTCATGAACATGCCGCTCAACCGCGCGTACCGGGCGTCGGAGATATGGCGCAACCTATTTGGGGTCGACCAGGCCCTCCGGGGGAAGCGCCCTCGGGTACCCGCGGGCGATGATGATCCTTACGCCCGTGGCGGCATCTTGAACGCGTGCAAGAAAGTCCAGCTCCGTAAGCGCCCGGCGCTGAAACGGGGTGGTCTCGTCGCCGTGGCTCGCCGGCTGTACAACGATCCGGCGTTGCAGCTACGCCGGCCGGGCCAGAAAAAGGCGATGCTCGCCGTATTAGGCCCCCGACCAGCGGAACAGGTCGTCGTGGGCCTCGGGACCGGGTCCGGCAAGTCGCTGCTCTTCATGGTCGCAGCCGCGATGGACGGTGCCGGCACGACCGTGCTTGTGTTGCCAGCAGTCTCTCTGCGCACGAACATGCTCGATCGCCTGCGCAAGGCAGGCGTTCGGTACTGTGAATGGCACCCCGGGTCATCCAGCAAAGCGGCGCCGCTCGTCATCGTTTCTGCCGAGGCAGCCTGCACGGAGCGGTTTGTAGAGTACGTCGGCCTGCTGAACAGTAGGCAGCAATTAGATCGCATCGTCGTCGACGAATGCCACCTCACGGTCACGGCGAGCAGCTACCGCCGTTCGATGTCGCAACTAGGGTGGCACGTTCGGAGCGTTCCCACACAGACCGTGTGGCTGACCGCGACGCTGCCACCGGTATTTGAGGAGCCCTTCTTCGAGCACAACAAGCTCGTGCGGCCGATGATTGTGCGCGAATCCATGGACAGGCCGATCATACGCTATATGGTGCGGTGCGAGCGTGGCCAGGGCACACTTGCCGCGCGGGCAGCCGACTGTGTCCGGGGCTTCTGGGGCCGGAAGGGTCTCGTACAAGGCGAGCGAGACAGGGTCGCCCTTTACTGCCAGACCAAAGAGCTGGTGGGTGACCTGGCCGCGCTGCTGGATTGCCCCCACTACACGGGCGACGACGACGACGACGGACGGATGGATGCGCTGGACTGGTGGCTCGGGTCGGCGGCCATGCCTGCCATGTCGCCACGTCCGCCCTCGGCATTGGCTTCGACGACCCGCACGTGTAAAAAGAAGAAAAGAAGGTTGTTCCACGCATCGACCAGTACAAACTTGGAATCAGATGGGATGTAAAAACCCAGCAAGTATATGTACAGTCCTTCGTTCTTTCATTTGAGACAGAGGCGACGTGGATCCTTTCCCATCTGCCGCTGTATGTCTGTCTAGCGCCGCGTCTAGCGCCGCGGCTGGCGCTAAACTCCTTGTCACTTTTTGAACGACCCTGCCAGCGATTTCACAAAGTGCCTGAACCGTCCCCTAGCGTTCGTGTCAGACGATAGTGCCCACGTCATCCATATTTGGCATGCAGTCAATTGATGAGAATTATCTTGAAGAGCTATCTGTAAGCGCACGACAGTGCGCTGCTCTTTATAAAGGAAAGCTTTTGCTTTTGTGGTGCGAATTCCGTGTAGCCGAGGCTGCTGGTGTGCTTTGACCCCAACGGGGTCCAAGCACCATGCAGTCATGCAGGCGCTCGACCTTAATACCCGCGTTATAGGATCGCGCTTCCGCGAACAACTACAGGGCGTGGGCCGTATGTGACATAAGGCTGGCTCTCTGTGCGACAGTTCGCGTCGGCCAGGTGCGGTGTTTGAGATATACCACTGAGGCGGGCATCTGACGCACGACAGGCAGAAGCCGGGTTGCCTGAAGCTATCGCCACCGATGGCAGACAGCAAGCGCTGTTAACGTTCTACATCGATGAGCGGCTTGATATTGACCAGGGGCTGCGCGCTTGGCGGCCGCCGGTGGTCCTATTTGGTGTTTCGTGATGCTACCGGTCGATGCTGCCGCTTGAGCTGGCCGTCATTCAGGGGTACACGCACCAGTCGCATTTGAGGTTATTCTCGCGTCATTCTAGTGACAGGCTCTTACACTAACAAGGAAGGCACGCTCGGAGGGCAGGGATGCATTCTGCGGAACGACGATGCGGTGCAAACGGCCGGTGCAAAACGTCTACATCTGGGGCTAGATATGGTATGCGACGCGTCCCGTAATAGTAAAGCGTAACGCGTGCCTACCTCGGAGGTTGGTTCGTCGTGGGTCCTCACGTTAGCTAGAGATGGCAGGAATGACCGAAACCGCACCAGAAATGTACAGGATCAGGTTGGGAATCGCACACATTCCAGACATTGAGCGTCAAGAGTTGAACTCAACCGAAATTAATGCACTTCCGCATTTCCTCCCCATGCTTGGCGCCCAAGGAAGTGCCCCAAGCAGTTATGATCTTACTTAGTACGTTGGACTATAATAGAAGCGATTGAGAGTGTTCATGGAGCTGTGTCGTCGCAGCGTTCAACTTCAATTACGTTCGCCTCTCAATCACAAATTTCTCTTTTGTCATCGAGACGCAAATAATATTATTCCTACATGCTTGCCTGATATGGAAACTCTGCTACTTTGGCTCGTCGCCGTTCTCCTCGTCAATGACTCATTGTTCGGATGGGGCTATGAGGTCAAATCGTCATCGTCGCACCACGGGTCATGGGAAACCATCACAGATAATCCTACAGCCTGTGAATTATGGGTTATCATCGAAACTTTGGTTTTTGCCCCTACAGAGACTGGATGGCAACGGCACACCGACTCGGCAGACGCATCTCGGCTGACAAGTACGTCGGGCGAAGAATCAAGCTCGTCAGTAAAGCAGCACAAAGGCTCTCCAGGTATTTTCCCGTCAACTTATTCTGGCTTCACTTCGTTTTGGCTTTGGAATGTTCAGCAGAGGCCAATATTATGACTCTAACAAGCTCTGCGTTGATAGTATCAAGTTTGATTACTCCTTGTTTGACCGTGTCTACCACGTGTTCGGGGCTTTGCAATATTTCTGGTTTGCAGAGTTCGCAGACGAGATCTTGCACATCATGCATTAGTGTTGCAACCTCTTCAACCACGTCCACCTCGTCAACCACGTCAACCACGTCAACCACGTCAACCACGTCAACCACGTCAACCACGTCAACCACGTCAACCACGTCAACCACGTCAACCACGTCANCGTCAACCACGTCAACCACGTCAACCACGTCAACCACGTCAACCACGTCAACCACGTCAACCACGTCAACCACGTCAACCACGTCAACCACGTCAGCCACGTCAACCACGTCAGCCACGTCAACCACGTCAACCACGTTAATCACGTTAATCACTTCAACTCCTACTACAACTTCAACTCCTACAACTTCAACTCCTGCTACAACTTCAACTCCTACTACAACTTCAACTCCTACTACAACTTCAACTCCTACCACAACTTCTCCTCCAACATTTACATGCGATCCATACGGGTACCTGATCCAGTCGAAAGCTCTCTACCAAGTCAACCTCACCACCGGGCAAGAAAACTTAGTCAAAAATCCCGTTGGTGACGGTGATAGAAACATCAATGCCATCGGCTATCATCCTGCAGAGAATATCATCTATGGCGTAATCCAGACGAGTACGGGGGACTCCAACCTCATCGCAATTCGAGCAGATGGTAGCTCCAGTATTTTGGATACGGTGCCCCATGCCATGGGCGGGAGAAGATACAACCTTAATGTAGGTGAGATCACGGACACGGGCCAGTTCTACTTCGGAACAGGTGGAAAGGTCTGGTGGCGCATGGATCTAGCCGATCCAAAATCTGATACGTACCGTACCATCGTCGAGAGTGGTACGTCGGATTCTGATTATGCCATCAATGACTGGGTGCAAGTTCCAGGTACCCAAGGGAGTTACTTTTACAGCGTTGGCGAAGACACCAGCATTTCACCCACCGAGAGCATCCTCATGAAATGGAGTACGAGCGATCATACATGGACAATAGTGCGGCGAATGGGCCATATATCCGGCAAAGACCACTGGGGGGCCCTCTACGCGGACAGTAATGGAAACATGTACGGCAGCGAAAACAACAGCGGGGACATTTACCAATTTCCCATTACTGCCATCGAGGCAGGAGGAACCCCTGTTTTTTTGACTGCGGGCACACCAAGCAGTAGGAACGACGGTGCTAGGTGTCATGCAGTTGGGTTGTAGCGTAAAATAGTACGTGTGCGTTTTGGTTGGTTTTTTTTTTTTTTTTTTAAAAAAAAAAAGAAAAGAATTGGTCGGAGGGTAAGTCTGGGGTTATGTGGACGACTGACTGACTGCTGCGGATCGTGTCAGACGAGCAGGCTGGAGAACCCGACATCCAAGTTCTCCAACATAGTTGAGGCTGTGGTAACTGGGATCAAGCCAGGGCGGCCACTGTACCAATTTGGGATCTGTGACTGTAACGAAAAACAAGCTTATCGAGCATGGCGATTGTAAATGCTGGCTAGCTAAAGGCTATTTGCAGGAGTCTGTGCCGGGAGTGGCCAAAGAGGTGAACGCGATAGCAAGAATTTGTGACGCGTCTAGGTGTTCTGGGACAGTACGTATCTATTCTCGCCCGATCCGATTGCAGCCCAAGCGGTGTAGGCTTGGCGATAGTTATTCACTGGATATGGTGTCAAGATCAAGCCACTCATTCATGTAGGACGTTAACAACATCTGCTGCCTGCTATCGATGGCGATAGCTTCAGTGTCAGACAATTGGCTCCACAGGGATCATAGTTGGCATTGTAGTAATTGATGAGAATTATCTTGAAGAGCTATCTGTAAGCGCACGATAGTGCGCTGCTTTTTATACACAAAGGAAAGATCCACTTTCTGTGGTGCAGAGTCCCTGTAATTGAAGCTGGTGTTGCGATATATGCAGCCAGTGTTTAAGCTTTGACCTCAACGAAGTCAAAGCGCAACACATGCAGGCGCTCGACCTTAATACAAGGATTATAGCATTGGCTTCCGCGAACAAATGTTCTGCGTGCAGATGTTATGCAACACAAGGCTGGCTCTCTGTGCGACATTCAGGCAACCCGGCTTCTGCCTGCCGTGTCTCAGATGCCTGCCTCAATCAGCACGGGTATAAATCACCGAGTAATGTCAATCATTAGATAGAAGAATCAAGAGTCTTCGGTTGCCCAATTCGCTGGGGACCTTCTGCCCGGTCGTCAGTTAGTCATGCACACGTGCAGCGCGACACATAACGACCTCCAACTCGGCAGTTGATTCAACCGCCACGCGGAACTCTTGCGCTTCGTCGTTGTCGTACCCAACTTTCTTGAATAGCTCACTCCTCCGCGGAGATTATCGAATTGATCTGACGACTTTGTGAAGCTTCCCAATTGGGCCTTTCTTCCTCCAGTGTCGCAGATCTTCCTCCTGCCGACTGAAAAGGCCGCGGACCTCCGATTCTGCCTCGAAGGTCTCTAAATCTTCGCCTTCAATGATGCTCGAGCAACCAGGTTCAGTACATCGTAGCGGCTACTGAGACAGGGGCTCGCGGGTGCCCACGCAGCACCAACCTTCACTGCCTTGGCGTCTGCGACTTAGCGCATTTGCGTCCCCCAAGACGCCAATTACAGTACACAGAACGGCCCAGGGCACCGATGACGCCCTGCCGTCTGAAGCGAGTTGCGAGTCCCGCGAAGCTCTCTTAACTAAATCTCGTGGATATGGATTGCTATGGGTTCAAGTTATCTTCGCTTGTCATCGAAGCAAGCAGCCGTCGAGCGTTTCGACCGAACCAAAGTCACGTACATCAAGCCGAAGAACTACCGTGCATTCTCACATGGGCCAAGCATTCGCGAGACTGGGCGCTGAGCCCATCGTCCGGATCCTGAATGTGCTAAGCACAACCACCCACCGAGGCGATGACCCGTCTGCACACCCTGCGCGTTGCCAACTCGGCGAGAAGATGTGTCAATCATAACCGATAACACTTACGTCGGGCTTTAAGCCTTTTTTTTTGTACCCAGATCATTGGCAGAAAATGAATGACTGCAACCTGAAGAATGGTGCCGTACTTGGTGGACTCTGCCACTAAGATTCAGGCAGAGGGCACAAAGGCACCGAAAATACAGTGGTCAAGCCAGTGAAGGTTGGTGCACTGGCATGTTTTGGGCACCTGGGTGCCCATGAATCAGTCGCCCGCCTTAGCAACGCATGCGCCCAGCGCGGATGTCTGCTGGCCTCATTTCGGGGGCAATCGTCTTGTACAGATGCTGAAGACAGCATTCATTTATTGTGGCATTATCTGACGCAACTGATGTGATCCCGTATCTGCCACTCGTCAACGACTTAGCGAAGAGTCACAGCTAGGTTCAATTCGCCATGGCTACCCAACTGACGTCGCAAAACAAGCAACCGCACCTGGCGGTGCCCTTGATGGTCGAGAAAAATGTCGCACAGAATGCCACAGGTCGGATGTCTCACCTGCCTTCAGTGGTAGTAGCTGCCTAGGAGCTGCCTGTCCAGGCAGCTACTACTGCCTAAACAAGCAAAATTTTGATTTGTGTATAAGCAACATGGGAAGAATAGCTCCATAAAATAATTCTAATCAATAGCCACGATGCCAGCCGCGATTCCTGTGGAGCTAACTGTCTGACAAAATAAAAATGAGCGGTGACGGCGATGGCGTGTCGATTGGGTGACGTCCTGACGTAGGAAGAGTAACTAGCTTCGCGTCTGCGGATACGATCGTGCCATGGAGAGTTTAAAACCATATTTCGTATGGAAGAATGGATAGCTAATCCGATTGCGTGCGAAGCCACAGACCGAGATCCAGGGCGCAAATCGTGTCTGGGCCAATCCTGGCAGTAATGCTTAGCATTCCATCATATGCTTCTACTAATGTCCGGTTACGGGCAAGCCATGCCACGATTTTATCGCGCCAGAGCCTCCAGCAAATTCTCTCAATAGCTCACGCCCGCCTTCTGTTTCCGTGATGTAATGTGTAGCTGATACTGTGATAGGCCATCAGGTCAGTAAGGATGGTCGGCTACAGCGGGTAACTCCGAGAGAGCCGCAAAACGCGCAGCCTGCAACTGAGACCGGCACCATCGAAATAAATGGAATGGTCAAGCCGGTCAGCTTGGAGCTTAGTTGCCGCCGTCAAACGAATGGATCAGGTTTTATGGGCTAATGCCCCACACAGCGCGTATGGGGGAGACGGGTGGGAGGCCACTTCGCTGCTTGTGAACAAAGGTGCGAAACCGCTGAGACTGCCAGCCGCCGCTATCAGATTTGGTAGAACGAATCGCATCTGGAATATCCTATTTGTTATGAATAGATAATTCTGTAGCTCGGTTGAGACACGTCTTTGGTCCAGTAGCAGCTGGTGGGGTTCTGTAGATCGAGGTTTGCCTCTGTGCTTAGACCGTTCGGCGACGAGCAAACCTTCCAGGCGGCTCATCCGCAACGGGAATAGACACACAGTACACTTGACCATTTGGAGTACGTTTGGAATTTCTCGGCATATTGCCCTGCATTGTTCCTACATTTATGTTTCCGATTCCTTATCGCTCCAACGTTCATGTATCGCGGCCTCCAAGCTTCGCGCATTTCACTCTCACTCCCACGGCGGGAAACAACGAGTAAGTTGCCATCCTTCGGTTTTCACAGGTAGGCTCGGTAATATTTAGAAGCCTCTCTATCACAAGCCGAAGCCTTCCACTAACTTGTGCATCACTAGAGTACCCTTGCGACATACTAATGGCTGCAGGCCTCTCAAGCGGCTGCTGAAATGGGCAAGATCTCGGAGGACAACCGGAACCACAGCGTTTGCACCGAGTGCCAACGACGAAAGCAGAAGGTCATCTCCCCGGCGTATGACTACTAGCACTTTCTGACTCGACGAGGTCTGTCAGAATACTGACCGCCGACAGTGCAACCGGGTCTGGCCGTGTAACGGCTGCCAGAAGCGCAAAGTCGCCCACAAGTGTCGTTATAGCTCCATATATCCCTGTTTAGGGACTATCACGCAAGAGTTGCGTGGGAAGCGGCAGTATAGCCACGATGACACTGCCCTAGCAAGCGATTCCTTGCCCTGGGACCATGGCACTCCGGGACGTGAGGTTCTTTCTCCCATCACCTCCCACTGTCTGTCCTGCATGATCGATCATGATGTAAGGTTCTTCATCTTGCTTGCCGCCTAGTGGACGGATTATTGATGCGATTCAGTCGCAATCCAGGGTGGATGTACCGAACCAACAGCAATATTTTATGGACGCAGCGTCGTGTCCCCAATTGGCTCAAGCCCTCCAAGTTCTGTCCTCAAGAGGGTGCATAGGCAAGGAATTTCCCTCACAGATGCTCTCTGGGATATGTGCTAATTGAAAAGGTAGATGCCATCGTGCAAAACTATATCACTAATGTCCACTACCACTGCTACGTTTTATACCCGCCGTCGTTCCTTGACGAATATCGAGATTGGTGGGCGTCGAGATCTTATGGCAAGTCGCTCGGTCTCCAGTGGACTTGTCTCCTGCTTATAGTTTGCGCGTGCTCCTTGCTTGAAATGAACGATCAGCTGCAGAGATTGGTGGATATAGGCCCTGGGGAGGCGAGTGGGCTCGCTTCCCTGTTCCACAAAGTCGCTCGCGAACTTTACAGCGTCGTTCCGCCGTCTCACAATCACATACTTAGTGTGCAATTTCTTCTGCAGTCCTGCTACTGGCACAAGTCCCAGGCGCGATTCGTTGAGAGCTGGCATTTCTTAGCCGCGGCGATACGGCAAGCGCAGGCGCTCGGTTAGTCTGTGGCACCGCGGTCTCCAGCGTCCGCTAACTCTCGCAGACATACATCAATCAACCGGTAGCAACGGTTTGTCCGAATTTGAGCAGGAGATGGAGCGGCGGATCTGGAGCTTTCTGAATGTGTGGGATTGGTATGTCTCTCCGGGTGGACTTTGATGCATGTTCTTACTCTATTGACAGGCAATTATCGATCCTACTGTCTCGACCCACGCTCATCGAACGCGCACACTGCGACTTAGCCTTACCCAACCTGATGCTTGAGGGGTATTTACTGTCACCGCTGCTTCCGACAACGCTGCTGTCGGATGTGGTCACAAAGCTGTCTTGTCGCTTCAGTTTACCCAACAAAAAGCTCAAAGCGTCGGACATAAATGAGTACCAGTCGACGGTACTGGACTGGGCAAGAACATTCCCCCCGAACTACAGCTTAAATGATCCCGACAGAAGCGGCGATGGGGACCACATCTGGATTGTCTCACATCGCCACTACCTGCACATGATGACATATTGGATACTCCTTATCCCTCTCCGGTGTCATTTTGGAAAGAGCATGTCATGCAACTCGCCACCTGCTGAGCTCAGAATTCGTAGCCATGGCATTGGCTACTGTCTGAAATTGATGGACGCCCTGTACGGCATGTTTGACAATGGGCGCGCTCGAGGCGGCGACGACCATCAAATGGTACAGTTTTGCCTGCTTGATGCATGCGCCATGCTTTGCTCCGCGCTTCTTCACGATGCAGATGGGACTGTTCCCCGGCGCACCGAGAGTCTTTGCGCCATAGACAAAGGGATCGCTATAATGAAACAGCTCAACACCACCAAGGCGGCACAGACTTCTTACGCCGTCATTCACCAACTCTCGCAGCAGCTAGGGTACATGCCCACCTCTTCGTCTCTGTCTTCGGTTAACGTTATCCGCGAGGATGTGGATTTGGACATCCAGTCCTTTGCTACTGCCGATCCTCTCAACTGTAGCCACGTCGGTGGCCACAGTGCTTATCGCTCTTGGCTGGGGTCATACCTGTGCGCACGGTTTGACGACTTTGTGAATGCCGCACCTCCAAGGCATTTGCTGGGGCGTGGATTCGCCCTGGAAGATTTACCAGAGTCTATTGAAATATCGGTGGCGCGGAACGATCCTGATACGGAACTGCTGGCGACGCAGACTACTGCACCAATCGCCACACCCCCATGTGGTTGGCCAACGCCGTGCTTAATCAGGTCACCGCCGGCAGAACACTTATCCAGAGCGCTCGAATTTGGCAGCGTTACGCAGCAGGATCTTACAGAGCTCGCGCATGATTGGGCTTCACAAGACTACCCTGCTCTTATCGAAGCAAATCTCTCAGGCAACTGGGCCGGACATGATGCATACTGACTCCCGGCTGGGAACTACATCGCGAAAGCACGGTGGTTTGCCACGGCGAACTCTGTCACAACCTAGCCAGCGCTGCTCTGGATTCAACCAGGTTAATTGTAAGGGTTTTCGATTGGATGATTGACAGAATGCTCTACCTCAGCTTGGTTGTCTTGGCTAGATTGAATTGTCTTCCCAGCATGTTGCGAATCATTTGGACAGGCCGCGAAGCGATCCAGGACTGGAATTGAGCATGCCTTCGCAAACTAATTCGCCACCAGCGTTGTCGACTTTTGGCGTCAGACTTTCTCCATACTGCCCAGTCTGCCGCCCGTGCCGGCGTCCACGTACGGCAGCGTCACCACCGGCCGGAGCCCTCCTCAGGCCCTCGGGGCTCACACCACGCCCCCTGTGTAACCCCCACCCCCCTCGCCCACCCCACAACGCCGACCTTTGCCTCCACGGACAACCAATTCCCGCCCCAGTGAAAGAGCACCTTCGAGTCTGCGTCCGACTCGCCGCAGCGAAACACCGCGCGATCACAAGAGTCTATACCTTTAGATTTCGTCGGGAAGTTCACCTCGCCATGAGACTTCCAGAAGGTTGTCCGTCCAACGCGAAAAGTTCACTGATCCAAGTCGAGGGTCGCATAAGTCGGACATATCAGGCTGATAATGCGCTTTCTCGGTGCTTGATGACCCGGCAGGCACTGAGACGGGCAGTGTATTCGGGCTGGGCAAGCGCTGCGAGGTCGCAGGTGACATCTCGAAATCGAAGCTCTGGTTCAAACAAACAAATATGATACCGGGTCCTGTCAAACAAACAAATATGACCGCGGATTTGACTTGTTTGATTCGAGGGCAGCGCTGCAGCAGCGTGGATTTCATATCGACAAATGTAGTTATCCAGTAAGTCGTCCGTGGGCATATCAAACCAATGAGCTGGAGATCCCTGCTGCACGTCTCCCGCTGAATTGAGAGCGCAACGGCATTGCGATTGCAGTAATCTGAAGGAAAACCCCCGTGACTGTGATGCTGCGGACATGAGATGAAATGGGCGATAATTCGTCGGGAACAGATGCCGCGCTAGTTTGTGGAGAACGGGCGGCGCCTGGAGGGATGACCGGGCAGAAGATCTCCAGTCAATTTCGGCAACAAAACACACTTGGGTTTTATACTAATGACCGAATTGAGGTTGGTCATTCATAGCGATCCAATGCAAGCAGGCATCTGAGACATGGCAGGCGGAAGCTGGGCTGTTTGAACGCCACACCATGGTACGCAGCACGTGTTGGGTGTTAAACGTTCTCCCTTAATGAGCCTCATGATATAGGCAGGTTCGGCATGGTGCGTAAATCGTGCTTGGGCTATGTAGCTTTGCCGAAGCGCAAGCGACGAAGTGCCCGTCAGTTGCCCGGCGCTCCGGCTCTCGGTCTGGTCGAGTTTCGATAGCGGGGAGAAACGTGAGGATTGTATCCATGTACAGTTGTAACTTGTGCCACGACATCGGATAGTTTCCACAGGAAGAGAATACAAGGTCCGTTGAGCCTGGTCCCCATGCTTCGACCGAGGCGGGATCAGGCCTACTTGCCATGTGTCCAACACCGATCTGTTTACCTAGGCCGGTTTCCGTAGTGGTTCCTCACGAAGCACATAGTAAGGGAGCTTGATGCTGGCTGTAAACTTGTAATGGTGTGGCTGAAGGCAATGATGGAATGCATGATTGCCCAATTTGGTGGGTCAGCGACACGTCGTCCGTAACGCGGCGTCCGTAGTAACGCGGCTCGGCGTGTATATCAATTGCTTTTTCTAAATTAATTTACTTGCATGACATCTCGCCACCTCCCCAGGACATAAATGGAAATTGACTGCAATCACTCTTCCTTCGAGTTGGTCAGTGGCTCATTGCCGTCCCTAGCCCCCAAATTCCCATCTGCATGGAAGACGTCGGCAGGATTGCAATACTTGCCTCTATCCACCTCTGAGAATGCAGAGTGAGCGTCAAATCCAGCTTCATCTCCTTGCAGAATCATGCACATCTCCGGCGGATAATCAGATGTGAACGGAAAGTCCTGGTCGTGCCCCCGGTCGTGCCGGCGCTCATCTACCGGCACTGAGGCGCCAGACGATCTCGGCAGATCATGTTCAACATCGCCGCCAAAGTGAGTTGGCGTTGACGTCGGTTCACCTCCTTGTATATCGATCGCGTCATCGAAGTAGTAGCGTATATCGTCTTCCGAGTCGGCAAAACTAGGCAGCTGTAATTGTCGAGCAACACGACGAGCCTGTGCGGTAGCATCGGGGAAAGACTCTGCGAAAAGGCGCTCGATAGCACCCCAGTGCTCTTGCTCGCTCAAGCATGCCACGTAGCTTGACATGCTTCGTCGATGCTGAAGATATGCTTCCACTCTGGAATTACATTCGATCGAAGCCGTTTGCATCTCCGGAGCAAGCAGCACAGGCGGCCGTTTGTGAGTATCGATCTCCTCGTACATGCCATCACTGGCTACAATCTCTTCCGTGATGAGAAATGGCCGTCCAGTACGCTGCCTGTGGATCTCGCTGGCCATACGGGCGGACTGAAGACGAGCCTCGATGCTTCGGTCCGTCCTCCGCGATGCTGCAATGTATGCCCTTTCTGTGTTCTCGTTCGAGGTACCCATCTTGCGCGATACGTTAGTCATGCAACAGGATTGAACTTTGCGGTAGCGCATACCTCGATTCCAAGATCGGATCCCTCTCACCTTTTCGTGAAAATGAAGAGCCGGATCTGAAGCTTAGTTGGCGACCGCGTGCAGTGGCTCAGGCAAGATCTCGACCCGCGCATAATCAAGCGACGGGCTATGCGGCTAGCGGGGTTTGCCTGCTCGATTGCTTCGCGTAGCTTTGTTGGTGCGGATCGGGCATTCTTGGCTTGTTGTTAGCTTGGCCGCAATTCAATCGCGCGGGACGACCAGCACAGTAGGTGGTCGTCAGTGCCACAAGCGGTGGGTCACGTTCTGCATCTCACAATAGCCGGCAAGCAGCACAGCATATTTAAACAAGTGCAGCACCATTCATAAGCCTGCCAAGATAGTGTCGCGACCCCGCCTCGCTGGCTCAAGCCGGCCTGGCATGACGGAGCCATCGCATTCGATCGCCAACTTAATTCCCGTTTTGTCACGCAAATCACGATATTTGATCCTGTTACTCGGCTTACCAGGCATGGAAGGTCGGGACTCGTCAGGCCGCCGCATTTCGTTGCTGGACAACAGCACTGTAAGCAGGGTTACTTACGCAAGAACGTAAGTGATCGTATTGACACAGACCCAGCCACAGTTCGTTTCGTCGCAAGGCCGAAGTTCACAAGGCACCGCAAATGCAGATGCACGAGCCTGGCATCCTCGCGAGCAACCCGACCGACATGGAGCGACACAAGATCACGACACCCTAACCAGTGATGATATGGAGATAGACGCTGCTCTGGCAGCGCTGAAGCAGCTAGAGCATTGGCTGTGTTTTACAACCAAGGCACAAATGAGTGCAGCTATGGAAAGAGTTGACTGGATCACAGTCCGGGACAAGGAAAAGGAGCCATAATCGCGGTTGTCATGGACATTCAAGGCACGCCAGGTGGCCTACAACTATTTTTGGACCTCGCATGGGCATTTAATAGCAGCAAAAGCCCGTGATATTCTATATTTGCACCGGGAGAAGGTCCCCGATTAGGGCTCGGCATTTCGGCGAGGAGCTGTTCTGTATCGGCGCCACTTTCGACTCCGGTGCTCGGCTCAAGGTAGGAACCGCGTGGTATTCCATGGTGTCCTGTCTTGCGTTGAATCCGGTCCTGCATTGAATCCAGTCCTGACCCAACTTAGCAAACCAAACGCGTCACGAAACAAAGAAGTAGAAGTGGGAAGAGGGGCGAACTTCTCAAGACACTTGCATTTCCTCCCATGCCGGAATTGAGACTGGCCATCTATACCGATACAATTCGGGCAGACATCTGAGGCGTGACAGCTTATCGCCTCCAATGGTAGGCAGCAAGGGCAGAGTGTAAAGTCCTACGTAAACGAGTGGCTCGATGTAGATAGGGTCACTACGGTCCGTGCATCGCGCTTAGACTTTGGCAACTTGGCTTTCCAATTGACCTTTGGAGCGTGTCGCGGCGCAATACACGGCTGCTATTTCGAGGGTGTGGCATTCGCTGGAGGCGATTTTATTGGAGTATCCATGGATCGCATACGACGACGAATACCAATGCCGTCTTCACTGTTGCGCATGGGCATATGTGGACCGTATGCGTAAGTGCGGACCGGGCTTGCTGACCTTGCGATATTGAGCCCCTGGTCACTGGCAACAAAAACAAAAAAAAAGGGAAAAAAAAGGGTAGGTTGCAAGCAGTAAAGAAAAGTCGATACAAGCGCCTCCTATTCGTTCTACCTACACTCTGTCCGTCCGTCTTCATCTCGTCTCCGGATATAATATGACGGACTCCACGCCCCCAAGCGCAATCACGTGTCTTTGTATGCACACAAATACTGTCCTGGCCTTGCTGCGCTGCATGGGGCCCCATACGTTCTCGTATGACCCTATCATCGTGTCGTCGTGCGCCGCATTGTCGGGACCTATCGGGTCACCAAGCTGTTGTGGTGGAGGCGCACTTGCGGGCCGACCCGCGCCGCGTGAAGAGCGACGAACTAAACGAAACGTTCGAACTCCTGTCGAGCACAGCCTGCGGCCCTCGGAGGAGCCGCGGCAACGGCGACTGCAGATAACCCGGCCCTGCCAGGTGATTGATCGGCTGCGCATACACCGCCGATTGGGACTTCCGGCCGCGTCTCATGACTCTATGCCTAGGCACGGGATGGAGGCATCGCAGCACGGGAAGATGAGCTGTCGGTGGTGAAACTATTCCGCACAAGTAGCTACTAGAGCCTTCACTTAAACCTGTTCAGCCCTTATCCTATGTCCCGTAAAGCGAGGTAGCCTTTGGCACAAAAACCCGGGCAGCAGCTAAGCTCTTCATGAGTCACAATCCTGTTAATAGCGACAAAGGGATTACGGCCGTGTACATAAAAGCTCGGGTCAAACGCCACTGTTAAGGAAACCGGTCTGCAGTGCCCGGGAAACAAGTCCATGCAAGTTACCAAGTCCTCTGCCAACAAGCCCCGGCCGATTACCATTTGTTCACCGGCGCAAGAGTAACATCCAGGCCATCAAGATCCAGATGCACCAGTGGTAGGTCCATCTTCTTGGATGCTAACGTACGCTGCGTTTCCGCAGCAAAGTCAACGTTCTGATGTTCGTCGCCGCAAATCACAGGAAAAAGGGCCTCCAGGACTCGACGCCTCTCCAACTCCGTCACATCAGGGATCCTAATCTGAACCAAGTCGCTCATGCCAAACCTTTGTCCCCCAGTTATTCTCTGGACAAGGGACTCCTAGAATCGTCCTGCAAGGTCAGCCGCAGAAACTAGTTGAGGCAAGACACGAGGTGGTTTCGCGAAGCAACGCAATTGGGCATGTTGAGATGGAGACAGGCTTATTATACGAATCCCTCGCAAATTAGGGACTTTACATGTCGTAACGAAAGGCCACATGCTAGCGCTGAAGTCTAGCTGCGCGTCTTTCGTGCCTCAGAAGAAGATGTAAATGAGCAACATAGCCCCCTGATGTGCGTATTGCGAATTTGATTGCAATTGAACAGCCTACTTCTAGTCTAATAGAATGACATTCAGCATCGCTAGCCACGCATAGCCAGCTATTCGACTCAGTTGCGTAAAGGCCACAAGGTCTGCCGAATCAGGCGGGGCGATCTTGCCGTCGAAGGATGTCTATTAACATGGCTCATTCTTGTCATTAACAACACTCAAGCGCTCATGGTTTTGGTTGCGAAGACGTGCGTCTAGCGCTGAAAGTGAAGGCATAGCCGAGGCGGTACGGTCATCTCCGAGGCCATGAACGGGTTGAAGTAGCGGCGGCCGCTGCGGCCCGCGGGGGGCGGGGGACGCAACTGATTGCGCCCCGTCTTCTGCGAGGTTTCGCGTCGTCAATATGCCGCTTTGTAGAGGAGCAACTGACTTGGCTGGCAACACGGCGCACCGATCTTCAGTCACAGCAGGTTTTGGGGCAAAGTCGTTGGGTGGGTAGTTCACAGCGACGACGCTATGAAGCGCTCAGTTAGCCATAGATCCACTACTTGGTTGGGTTACTTCACTTCATGTCTGATTGGAGTGTTACCTCAAGGATTTTGCTGTCGGCTTGTCTGTGTGCGTCGAGTCAGCAGGAGGAGCCAGACCACATTGTGGGCTGGAGACAGATAGCAGAAACAATCCGTTTGTCTGCGACTGGGTCGGGATGCTGCCTGAAGTCGCCACTGGCCATGGCTCTGTGTCTCTATCGTTGGCGAGGCCGCGGTATCGTCGCGTCGATTGGATGCTGTGGCCATGGCGATCATTGAGGGCTTCCACGCGCTCCGGGTAGATCCTTTCTAGCTCCTCGGGTGTGGATGGCAGCAGGCTTTGTGAGATGAGCAGCTTGCCGCGGGTGGTATTCACCTCCACAAATTCATCATCCATATTTGAGATCCAATTAAGGCTGGCTGGCAGAGGGTCTATCGCCAAGCGCTTGATACAGGAATGGCCATGATCCTCTAGATCAACGGGAATCTCGAACGAGTGAGGATGTTTAAGTCGGGCGTTGGCCGGTTGCTGTGAAAACTTGAACGCGAGGCAACGCTGACGTCATCCTTGAAGCTCGTAGAACAGCGTTTGATGGTAGGCTGACAATTTTAATGTTGTGTTGAAAGGCTTGCCGTAAATGGCATCTTTGTGGGCCGACACATGATCCACTTTGAGAGTGTAATTTATCCTTGCGCAGACCAGAACAGACCAGACTCTTCTCAAGCGTTCTATTCGGGAACGGGGCTGTTCCCTCTTCTAGGCCAATCACATCGCGAAATTTACCCCGCGAGTAATAGATCAGCCACAGTTCGTCAAGCTTGGACTTGTTCGCAAGGCCTTGCCAGCCATTGGCGGCGAACGCTGCGACACGACCGAATTGACAAGTTGTACAAGGTGGCTGGCAGTGACTGCACCCGAGATATTGCGGAAACATTGATACAGTATGGCGGATTACTGAGCGACACACGCGATGGTTTTGTGTCGCGGCGACAGCCTATGTTGGTGTTGGACGAGAGGTGGTAGTTGAACACTCGGGAACGACCAGGCGGCGACAGCCGCCTTCGTATGTTTCCACCGCGAGGGCGCGACCGTGTGGGTAGGGTACCGTGCCAAGTTGGCGAAAATAAGGCATCAAAGGGCCATGATTGGCGTATTGCGCTGGTGAGAGCCTTTTGTGGCCGTTTACCTTCGGTCGATCAGATTCCGGCTGGTTTGGCCTCTTATTTTTGCCAGGGCCCAGGAACGCGCGGCCCAACTGACTAGGAGATGGTCCAAATGGGCCGATAAAGTCGGGGCGTGCCCGCGATACTGGCAATATAGCCATTTCTGGCTTCCCTCGTCCCGTGTTGGCAGACACGGTTCTGGTGTCAGCAGAGGGTACAAAATCTGAATCGGCTGTCAGATGACTGTGCCCATTGCGACAGCACACAGGCCAGGGTTGGGGCTTGGTCCGCTGTTCAGTGATTTGGGCACATATACAATATTCCGGCAGCCTTGTCT